GTTTTCTGTAGATAGTCACAAAGCATATCTCGTATGTTTTAGCTTGATTTGAAGAAAAAATAACTATTTCTTTCACCGAAACAAATATACTCATCGATGTTTGTATTACTTTGTACTATGTATTAGTAGTTTGGAAAGATTTATATATTTTTTTTCTTTTTAATGTAGTTTAGGCTAAATCACGGGTAGCTTTTACAAAATTCCCGTTCTTTCTGTAGCGACCTATACGCATTACAGGTCTTACCTTATAGAATGTTTTTTACAGGCAACACTGTCCAATGCTACTTGCCCAGTATCAGAAGGCAGTGACTCGTGTGGATATGGTTAAGTCTTTCTCCTTCAGGGATTTTGTTGAGGTAAATATCAATTTTCTGTATATTTTTTCCGTGTTATCAGTGTCCTCTGAATCTGTTGACTTTCGTGCTAGTATCAAATAAGATATTATAAATATGAAGAAATGTAATATAGTATACCTTAGGTGCAAATACAATTGGATGTAATTTTCTGAGAGCTAGTCGTGGCTTCAAATGTTAGTCTTAACATGTATTGTATACTCTTAAAATTTATTAAACTCGTGATATATTCTAGCCGAGCGTGCCCTCAGAATTACTATGGACTAGACAAGACCCATCTCTATGAAGAACTGAGTTTGGATAAAGTCCTGGCTAATTCTTACCCCCTTTTTTCGGGTTTGATCAATTGTGCTCATAATTTAATGGTATATGTTTAGAAATGCAAATTACTTTCCTATTGATCACATATGTTCCTGAATGTGTCCTATTTATTTTTTATTTCTTTTTTTTTTTGGCATATACTACATCAATTCTCAAGAACTAGTTGGCTTCTATAGTGAATCTTTGACATTTTAAGCTAAATAATGAATATCATCGAACATTTTCACCATGTTTTTTCAGAATGGTGGAAACCTGGTTATACCAGCCGACAGGTTCCTACACGAAGTGGCGTTTAAGCTTTGGAAGGCACCAAAATATGGCGCGTGAGAATTCGTGAGCTTGAACAAGTGCAGAGGCTCACTCGATATTGAACTTTTTTTTGGGTATGCACTGATCAGTTTTGCGATAGTTTTTATCATTTTAAAAGTCTCCTGAACGAGCTTTTGATGCTAATAAGGAACCCGTGTATTTTGTCGAACTTGCACTATTGGTAAAACGATTATTCTAATTTTCCAGCTATGAGCTACCTTGAGAAACCAAAGTTTACTCTGTTTCATCTTGTTAGTTTATACATTTCACTTCGATGCAAGATCGTAATAGCTGATTTTCAGTTGGTCGTGATTAACATAATGGTTGATACTCGCAACATCTCAAAATGAAATAGCTGAGCCAAACATGTTCATGAACGGACATTTCATGTTCAAGAATAGCCAGGAGCTTAAATAAGTCGAGCTGGCACGATCATGAACTCAGACATGAGCTACTCGGCTTGATCAACACCCCTAGTTGGTGGTGATTAACATAATAGTTAATACATCATTTCATTGTGAAATGCACGAGTTTAGAATTGTCTCTAGAATTAAGAAATCAAGATAAGTGATGTATTAACACAAGAATTTGTATTACTCAATTGTTTTGGAGTTGTGTAAGAGTCAAAATAAAAGAACCAACTACAAATTTTACGAATATGCAGAAAGCTATGATAAATAAGATAAAATTGGTACTTAAGCTCAATACATATGGGACACAATAGCCAAAAAGAAGCTGCTCACACTTTTAAAAATCATTCTCCTACTTTTACATAACATACAACTTTAGTCATTACATATTATGTAAATACAACTCAAAATCCTGCTCAAACCTCCACCACTCTATCAACTTTTTCTTTTCAGAATTAACGCTGCTTTTTCAATAAATCCAATCAAAACGAAAATATTTTATATCCAATCACCCCCTAAAACTCTCAACAATCCAAAAAATCCTTAAAACAGTAACTTGCCAACAAGAACCACACGACGAGCATTGAAGAGAAGGAGAAGAGCCCGATAAGAAACGGCCACCCGACCATGTACAAGCCCAAGCAAGTCACAATCAGAAATGGCAATAACGACCTCAGCACTAAAAATGGGCCGACCCATCTGGCCCGGAACAGAATGAGGCCCGCCACATCAACCATGGTCCAGTTCATAGACCCACCGTAGCAGAGTCTATTGAGACAGGTGGCGACAAACGAGTGGCAGTTGCACGTGAAGAGGTTGTATGACTTGTGCTCAAAGTGGCGTCCGCTTGATTGCAAGGCATCGTCCCACGTGATTGCCGCCCCATACTCGGAATGCGTGAAACGGTGCTTACATTTATGGGCCCCGATATTTGGAGGGAAACAACACTTTTTCGAAAAAAAAATAAAAAAAAATGAGTTATTTATTAACTAGAAATTGATTGATGGTACTCAAATTGATAAAACCAAAACTCAAGGTATCAAAAGTTAAAAAATAAGTAAAACTTAGAGAAATCAAACCTTTCTCGAGCTAGAACTACATGAAGTCCACACTCGACCAACATGTGTAACTTAGGCTATGTTTGATAAACCTAGCTGATAAGCTAACTTATAGCTGATTAGCTAGTTTATATTCTAGTTTATATTCGAGCTTATAGCTAATAATAGCTTATGACTTATAGCTGAAAAGCTAGCTAGTGTGTGGTAAAATTAGCTTAAGCTAGCTGAAACAAAATTTTCAATGGACTTAATTGAAAAGATACCCAAGGAAACTTATGAGATAAGCTCGTGCATTTTAAAAAACTCGTCCTACCAAACCAAGCTTATTTGAATACAAGAAGCTTACAAGCTAACTAAATAAGCTATAAACTAGCTTATATACTTACCAAACACAACCTTAAACACCTCATAACCATACACGTAAACTCTAAAGAAACAAAGAAACTTTGACAATTTAAGCAAACGGTGTACCTATGGAGGCTATTACCTGCTCCCGATCCAATTGAAGGTACCGAGCAACGGGTCCAAAAGAAAAATTATCAACATTCACGAAATTCGAGCCCGAGAAATCTAAAATTGTTCCATCCTCCATGCATATACCGACATGTCCTATGAAAGGGGCCAACCATGATACAATGGGCAAAGGTGTCCAAACGAGACAACACGGGAATTTCACCTTGTTGGGGTCGATTGGAGCTAGAGGCCAAAAATCATGTACGATATTCTCGGTGTATCTATTATTTTCAATTTCACCCGCAAGATTAAATTCCATTATGGAACGCTTTTAACAAGGGCAATTAGCCGAGTAGAATCTTGCTGTCCTGATTCTTTCCGAGTTAGAGAACATTCTCTAGTTTAGTGGTCCAGCTAGGATGTAAGATAAACGGGTCATTTTTCTCTGCCACCCGAAAATGAGAGGCTACATCTGAAAGATAAAGTGGATTTGGATCTCATGTGGGTGCATGGTATAAAGAGAAAAATTGTATATAGAATAAAAGATACAAATAATACACACATACACTAAAAATATATAAGAGTGTGTTCTCAAGTGTGAAACAATAATTTGAATACACATGGGACAGATAAATGATATACAAAATTAACCTTTAAGGTTCAAGATCAATGACCTCACAAAGCACCTTTAATTTTTCCTTCCTCCTTTTTGAAATTCAGATGATTCCCTAAACCGTATGAGTTACTATAAAACCTGTCGGTCAATGAATTTCGACACATTTGAACACATGCAATTTATACTACGA